GTGGTGGATAATTCCTCTCTCGATTTCAATATCATTTCATTAACAGCAGTAACAGAAAAAAAAACTTTGATTAAACAAAAACTGAAAAACAGCCAGAAACTACGAAAACATTGCTGATGATTTATTTGCGATAAATTACTCCAGCCCTGATGTCAGTATTTATGAGAATTAAAAGTCATGCGATATTTCAATTTCTCATGTCAATTACCTTCAAATCTTATCAGTTGGAGATAATTATTTTGATCAAGTGTAAAGGCGTGTTTCTTTAATTCCACATATTTAAGTGCATAAATTATGAATATTGTCCTCATATTTGAAAAACGGAGCGATAAAAAAAAACGTATTCACCTGCGGTGTTAACTCCACCTCCAACTCCCCACTGAGATATTGCTTCTCAAATTCTGCATTCTCCCCCACATACGAAGAAATCATTCTCTTTATCCTTTTTTCATTTAACAACAATCCAAGCCCCCAGTCATCAACTCCAGCATTATTGGAAACAACAGTCAAACCTTTGCTTCCTTTTTTCAACAATGCATTGATCAAGTTCTCAGGTATTCCACACAATCCAAATCCTCCAACCAATAATTTCGCTCCATCAGGAATATCTGATATCACTTGCTCCATTGATTTGAAATATTTACCATCACCTACGGGTGGTTTTATCCTCTGAACTTCATTTTCTGGAGCGGAAGTGTCTGATTTCACTGAGAAATTCACTGACCAGATCTAAATAAAATGACAATCACCATTCAATAATTAATTAATCAGGAATAACTACAGATTAATTAAAAAGACAGTCGATAAACCTCTGCAGGTAATTGTGAATGTAAAAATAAAATTATGATGATTAAAGAATTAAGGAAAAGATCAAGTAGTTGAGAATGTTGAGAATTTATTTTCTAGGTTAAGAATCAAGTTGTAGTCACTTTATTTATTGCTGGATGAATTTGTTGTCGGGTGCTCCCAAGTCTAAGGCAGATGCTTCGAAGTTTTATTATTGTTGCTGCCATATTATTTGGGTTAATGAATAATTAACAGGTCAGTGATGACTAGTGGACTCAGATGATCAGTCAGAATGGGAAAAAAATTGTCTTGTCCCTTCACCGGTTCCTCGAGAACTGCCACTCATTCAATACGATAACCCATACTATTACATTTCGTATTACAAATATCTCCAGTGAGATTGCGACTTTTTTATTCGTTTAATTGGAGGGAAATTTGCGAGGTCATAGATCCCGTTTGCACAAGTGACGAGTCGTATCTCAAATTCGCAATTGGGAATGCGTAATGAAGGGAATTTATCTCGCGAGATGTCAATCGTTTGAATATTCAAATTTTGTGATGGAATTGTTACAGAAATAAGGGGAAAGATTTTTTCATTCTGTAGATTTTATTTTCTGGGGAGATATCTATTGCACGATGTTATGAACAAATTTGTTTTTCATCTGTATCGAGACTTGCAACATCGGCTTCAAATACGTAGGATGATAAATATTGTTTCGTAATGTTTTTTTACGATTCAACGCGTCATGAACTCTTAATCGAAATTAAAAAATTTTTCTTTCAATTATTTCAATTTCAATGATTTTTAATAATTTTCCCACGAAATTTCGATTTATACGGTTTTTTTTTTATTGAGAATGAAGAATTATTTATCTGTTAAATTTTCAGTCCATTTTATTTAACATTAATTACAAATTGTTTGGTACTCATTAATTAAAATATCTCTTCCGTATCAATAAACTCTGTGCTTATTAATGATAATAATTAGGTACAGTTTTGATCCAAGTATTTTAAACTAATCTCATTACATATTCATTATACAATAGAATTATAAAAAAAAAATAGAATTCAATGATTCCCATCGAAAACGAGGCCAACAAAATACTTGCATCGATGGCAGGTGTTTTTACGAGTAAAAACTACAAATG